TGAGACTCCTCTTAGGTGTAGCAATGATAGTCGCCGATACACGAACCATATTCACATGGTGCCACACTTTTCAACGACTATTTATTATCGAATATTAAAAGAGCAAAAAAATAGATTTTCTGAGGAATGAATATCCTTGAAATCTAACGCTTCACGGCAGAAGCCCAACAATGGCACGCAGAATCCTTATTTTTCAAGCGTAAGGAGAAAGAGTTTTATAAACAAAGGATTAATTCGTTGTCTGATCTATAGCAGAAGCGCACATCGTTTTGGCGGTATAAACTGTATGCTATACGCGCCCGTTGTGCCATACGAAAAATGACTGAAAGTACTCCACGATATAACATTATCGATAGTGTTAAATAAAATAGAGCGGCGTCAGTAACAATACTAGTTTGAGAACGCAGGATTTCATAGGCCGAAATATTGATATATCAAGACTTGTATGTTCATTAATCATTTGATTTCTCTGCATTGAGACTAATTGCAGCAGGGCACTTGATTGATAAATTCTTAAATATCATTGTATCATCTCGATCGGCAATAAGCCAACTTAATTGTATCCTTATCGTAAGGGGGACATAAGCATAAGGCTCAGAAGCTATAGATATTAGTAACACCTGTTGTGACCAGGTTTAACTAGACTACCCAGTCTAGTTTAGGACAGTTCTAAAGTCCTAAACATTGGGTCCTGGGTTGCTGTTAAGGATCAGTTTAAGGGAAGTGCGCTCGAATGCGATAAATGCCGAATCGTGCCTAGTTTTTAAGAGCTAGACGACAGTAATGAAAATTTATTTATCTGACATGGGGAACTAACATTGTTTTAATTTATATTGCTGCGAGGGGATCGATTCGGGAGCTTTGACAATAACCGTAGTCAGGTCGTCATTGTTTTGGCAACCACATCTTTCTTTGTCACAAAAATTCAACTATGGAAAACGTGGTGAACTTTGCTGGCTTTTCAGCGGACCTTAGCATAAGAGCTATGTTCTGCACTCATAACAGTTTGCATCAGTTAATGAACAACTGCACATTTTGTAAGCACGTCGGACAGTGTACAAGGGACAAGGTTTATATATCAACGATAAGCTGGCCCATGTGGTTTTCACTATAATCTACTAAACCTTGAATCAATACGATCTTGCACTTAATATAAAATCTATTTTGACGTCATGGTAGAGACGGTAGTAATCACAGCGCATAAACCTAACGCAAAAAGACATCCACAACCAGCATCTATGACAGGGTTCCTTACGATCTTGACTGCCACTCATCATGCGTATCGTGACTGTGCCGGATCGCTAGATGAGATACTTCATTACTACTAAGTGTTTATAGACGTAGAATTTAAAAAGTAGGCTACCAAGGCCGGCACATTTCGAGGTGAACGTTTCACACTAGAAAGAATGCTGCACTTATCTGCCTATAATTGCTAATGGATCAGAATACGTTGCGAAAAGGCCACACGTTATCAATCCACGCATCTTAATCAAAGCCTATACTTTTTTCTGCCCACACATCCATTAACGCAAACGACCACACACTCTCGAGTCGCCTAAAGAGATCTTGGTGCTCGAAAACGGCTATGCCTAGCTACGTATCGGGGGTAGTCAAGGATGAGATTATCACTAAGAACACTGTTGTTGGGTAGTCAAAAGAAGACGGTTCTTCTAGCTACATGGCATCAGAGTCACATATCTGAGCTAATGAGTCGATATCGTTGAGAGATGAGGGGGCAGTCGTGGACGTGGCGTAACGTCTTTATTCTGACTTCAAATACAGCGCCTTGAAAACGAATGAAATATTTGAAGTTTCGAAGTGAACTATGCTCTTCATAGTGGTGGATCAATTGCGGCGGGGGAAGTTGATGAAGTTCTTGTGACAGCTGAACAAAGTTGATACCGAAGTAATCGTGACACCGTCAAGCGACAATTTTAGATTGTTTAGACAAAGCTGGCTACAAAAAGAAGCTTGACATCTAAGTGCCACACGGACTGATGCAAGACAATTCACTCGATCGAATTTCCGACCGCAAAGCTACAAAAATACAGCGAAACTGGGCCATTTGTCACTCAAGTGATTTATCGCAAGTTATTACAAACGGATTACATATAACAATGCGCGAAAAGCTCGATAATCTGTTACAAAACTTGGACTGACGCCAAGAATCGCGTATTATCACTAGCTGCTGCTGCTTCTGGCACTGGTTCGAAGCTTTGCTATCAACAACTGTAGAGTACAATAGGCCGTCAAAATAAATCGGCCGGAACTAGTAGATAAAGATGATGACGACAACGTCGTCTTTCACCATTACCTTCACATAACCACGTACATCTTAAGCTACCCGGCAGCAGAAACCGGACAATTTTAATGCGTATGCCGTCTAGCCCGGATTTCACCCATCAGATTATTACATATTTCGGTCTTTCAATTCGGTGTCGGACGGAAGGATGCAAGCATCACTCTTTACAACCATTTTCCTCGGGAACGACACTTTGTAGTGATGATATTTTGTCTTATCAAAAATATGGACGAAGATCATCGATCGAAACGGCGCATATTTGGCATGAAAACGTTTATCTCAATTTCGGCTCAAAAACCATATCTATCGGTCGGTCTAGCAAACAGACGTATATATGTGACATGGAGGCGAGATCTGCAAGTTCGAGTGAGGGTTGAGATCCGACCTTTTGCTGCATCTGATATTATATATTTAATAGGCATCTTTTTAGATCTGTGAATAGATGCATTCAATGTTTGAGCCACGGTTTGAAAACGATTTAAGAACGTTCTCGTGTCCTCCACTAAACGCCTATAGACGCATTGGCTTCGAGAACGGTTTCCCTCAATGGCTGCGTCCTTCAGGCGGCTGAATTGAACTCGTTACGTGGTCAGCCACGCGTCTAACTTAAGACAGTCGGAAGGAGTACGTCTTACACCCCCGACAGGAATCGCCGATGCCCACTGCGAAGTCTCGAAGTGATGAGGTGAAGATGGGACTGTGCTCATCATGCCAACTTCACGACACACCCCGCACATGGCAGTTGTACAATATAATTCCTCTCTAAATATAGCCGCGTATATTTATAGCCGCATCTCTTTCTACGTATGCACCGGTATTAGTGTCTATTACAGTTTTGCTGTTGGAAGGAAGGGAACGTAACCTAAAATTGAGTACCGACACCGTGTCGCCGGTTTTTAGTGAGACGCGATAATAAAACGACGAGACGAAAATTAATTATCAACTGTTGAGAAGCATAACTGCAAAAATAGTGACCTCGTAAGCTTCCAACAACATAAACAGGTAGCATGTTGTTATCGGCGAGAAGCGTTCTTATTATTGAACATATTAAATATATATATATACGCACGTTGCCAATAGAATATAACGAGCCCCCACGAGCGCTTATAAAGGCGGAGTCAATTTTTATCGACAAAAATTAAACATGTCATATATTACTTGTCGCCTTGCGTAAGCCTGGAAACTATGGCCTATAACGCCCTGCCTCTATCGTAAGTACGCTTACTAAGTGATTGTCAAAATCTCAGCCGAATTCACCGACTTAAACCCTTTCGTAAATAGGCCTTCTAGATCATTCTGAGAATTGGACACATTTCGTAGCAAATATTAGTTTGTCTTATCAGTAGGAAATATATCTTTAGCAATTTATACAATTACTAGAAAACAGTCGGCAACAATGGCGGAATAGGCCAAATATAGTAATATAATATGGCAAAAAAAAACTTAGAACAGCTCGACTCCGGTGAAAACGTATCGTTTTTTTTTTGCCCAGATGCATAAATTACACAGGCAAATAGGACAATATGCCTGTTTTTCTTTTCATAGAATTCGAATGGTTTACGTAACATCGGCACTTCGTTTTGTTGCTATCTCAGATGATTGAGGACGGTAGGTGACGTTTCTTATTTCTGCAGCAACTTCACATCGTAGCGTGCCTTCAAAGGTTGTACATAGACTGTTAATGACCTTCGTTGTCTGTCGTTTGTGCCACACCTTTGGCAAACAGCTCGTCGTCGAGTCGAATCGACTTCTATGGGCATAAACCTGGCTTGTCGGCAGCATAGCCTATCGTCGCCATATCAGTCTAACGTCAACAACCAGATCTGATACATTAAAGCCGACGGATCTGAAAGCGATATGATTCTCTGACGCCACTGACCCTCTTGACCGGGAAGAGTCTAATTTAGGATAAAGTGCGTGGATAAGACCCAGAAGACATGAGAATGTTCAGTCGTGCGTATGTCAAATGTGTTTTGTGATCGCGGCCACGATCACTGCTGGAGGTTGCTAAGTGAAAATTGACCGAACTGGCAGGAGGGGCATGATGTGCCACACTATTACACAGGGCGGGGCAAACCACAGCGGGAAAAGATGTAAACCTAGAAATGATAGGAATAAGGCTTATTGCCAGGGAAAAACTAGTTTTTCGGCTAATACGTTAAAGCAGGTCTGCTTTCTGTAAGTGTAAACTTCAAAGTGCTCTAGACGTTATAGATAACGTTTGGCCAAGTAACCAAAAAAGGCGAGCTTTTCTAGTAGAATTTAAAAGTCGCTACTATTCATCAAGTGGCTAGTCATGAGGTCGCAATAAGTGATGCGTCCTCAGACTATAAAATGAATGCTTCAACTTAAGTTGAGCTCAGATTGTGCTCAACACTAGAAAAAATGGTAAGTTAAAGCGGTTTTGATGCACGTGAATGTTTGTGGAGTCGGCTGGAAGTGAAGTGAAAATCTTAAACCTAAAATCCTATCCATAAACAATGCATTGTGCTACTTGGAAGTACTGAGGATACTTCATAGGTGTCTGTATAAAGTGATCCTGTGTCTTTGTAACAAAACGATACGCGTACAAATTAAAGAAACTTCATGTGCTAATTTTTTACTATTAACGATAAGCCATAGTAGATGCTTTTCTTTCTATATGTGTACACACACAAACACATAGATAAGCTTATTTCATCATGTTGTTCTATATACGATGCAGAAATTTCAGCTCGTATCAATGCTTTGTGCATCGTTCCTGATTGGCTTAACGATAAGTCAAGGCGCTCAAGCACGACTTCTACACAAACGCTCGTTCCTCCAAATGGGCTGTAAAGGTGAATTTGTCCCATCCTTCTTCGCACGTCTGGATCGTGTTTGTGAGGAATGCTTCCAGATGTACCGCAAACCATTTATTTTCGACTCATGCCGGTAAGAAATTTTGCTGTCAGATACCCGTCTTGGAAAACTAACGATTATGCTAATATTCTGATATCTTGCTACATAACCTTGTACAGTTGGGTTGTATGTATCATTTTGTTAGGCGTAGGTCTGTCTAGGTCGTCTTAGTCTACAAGAATCAGTGCTACTACTGAATATTTACACATTAACTTCTAACTTAATTCGAAATAAGCGAGGAAAGTTTTATACAGTTAAAACTCTATAGCAGAATATGCAACGGTATCCTTTTCTCATCAAAACTGTGCGTCTATTTACCGGTGACAGCTGATAATAAAAGTCTATTGCGAACACGATTTATGCCCGTTAACCAATAGTCCTATGAATATATGATCCCAAGGGAAATTTACCTGCTTCTGAATGTTGAAGTAGTTCGGATAAGGTGATTTATCAGTGAGGGATTCTTACGGCACGTCTCTCTGGATCATTAAATCACACAGTAGGCGTTTGTGCTTATTAACGGATATGTATGCAGAAGTTTTATGACTGGATCGCCGTCAAATAGCTGGTCGTAGTAGTATGAACCAGTTTCTCGCTTTCGGTGCACTCATCATTCTATCTATTATGCTCTCCGGTTAAACGCAGTTGAAGATCGAAGAAGTCGAATTTGCGTTGCCGTTCTATGCCGTTCTATGGAACCGTTGAAGTGGATAGGAGGTCCTAAATGTACATGTTCAGCTACGTATTTCCAATGCTGGATTTATAAGCATTGATGAATTAACTTATTGGCAGGTAAAATAGTGTTAAAAAGCGTGTTGCTGTTGTTACTGTCTGTTACAGATCGGATTGTTACCGGAATGAGACATTTTTGTTGTGCACTGAAGCCCTAATGCTCCACAAGGAAAAGGATATGCTTGAAAGTATGGTAAATCAACTCTACGGACCTATCCCTTAAATCAGCAGGAGACCAACTGCGTCACAACCGCTACGAGTCTTCAGCTAAACAAATCGGTTACAGCAAACCAAGAGAATATTAACTGGACAAAATTTCTTTTAGCATTTAATACGAAAAAAAACCGTAACTTGAACGCTTCACTCAAATAAATTCACCATCTAGAAAATAGAAATAATACCTACGTTTACCTTTAAATGAAATTTAGGAAAAAACTAGGTTGGGTTGAAGCAAAGGCAACGCTGTTTATTTATGCACTTCTGCGAAGAAGTGGTTTTATTAAAGTTAGCTTAACATTTGATGGTAAGATTCGCATCTCTTGGAAAGAGGCACGAGAGCGTCGTTTACCAATCCCGACTATGACAACTTTAAAAAACGACCCGCCGAGCATGACGACTAAAGCTGTTCGTATCGTAAATCACAACTGTCAGTTTCTTCAAGAATACATTTATCGATGTTACGCTTATGCCTGTCAGGCCACTTATGATACATTTTAACTGTGACTATCATCCATTGGTAAGAATTCAGTGTTGATGGAATGTTTTATCTTTAAAGGACCAACTAATCAGAGGAAATAAAAATAAACAAATATACTATTTGCTGTTTTGTAAAGTAGGATATTAGAAGAACAACAGAAGTGTTTAATTTTTGGTTGCCTTTTTATCAAATATATACATTTACGCGAATGCCCCTCTTTGCCGGGCCTTAGACCCAACCAAACGAGTATCCATATCTGTGAGCGTGTGGAGAATTTACAAACTAATCAAAAAGCGCGTGACGTTAACTTTAAAAACGAATGGTATATAAAAATGCTGGTTTCTATGTTCAACTTCTACGACAGAATAAAAGCAATATAAAAGCAACGTATGTGCTTGACAGATCAGCTGCACATATGCTCGTGCGGAAGTTACTTTTTGCCTTTTAGGACACACATAAATCGAAAAAAAGAACTTTATATATATAAAATTTTCTTTAATGTAACTTTTGTTCGATCTCTTTTAATCCGTACCGAATATCACCTAGATATGAATACCTTTATTATAGCATTATAATAAAGGAGTTGATTGAAGGAGGAAGTTACTTGTAATAATCTTCTGGGGCGCATTAAAGGCTAAAATATTTACCTTTGGGGGCAAATCCCGAATTGGTTTTGATTCGGGATGCGCTTTAATGTCGTACACGAGTCTGGGTTGCTTAATTTGTATTTATTCTTTCTTGGCACAAATATAGGGTCAATCTGCTAGCAGTAGCTCGTAAAAAATGCGTGAGTTATACGAGAAGCTAGTCTTTAGTTTCAACCCCCCGCCAATATCCAATGGCGCTACTAAGTATAGATAGACTATAGAATATTTATTCTCTCGGCGTTTCGCGTCATAACGTGCCCGGTGGTGGTTGTAAGAGGGAAACTCAAAAAGAAACGCGTATTTGGCTTTTTCATCTTTAGCTTTAGCATAGCAGCACCTTAACAGTATATTCAGCTCCAAAATTGCTTCTCTTTAAAGGGTGCTTCGAGCTTAATGAACTCTGTAACGGTTTCATAATGGAGCTTTTAGATTTCGCTTAAGCGAGAAATTTAGGCACTGTATAAATCGAACGTTCGACACGTTTTGGAAGCGTGTAATTAACTTACGTAGTCAAAATACTCTGCAAGGACTCAATAATTTTCTAATTTTCAGTCCATCTTGTTTTCGCCGCATCTACGTTGATTCGTTTTGTCTCTCGTACACAGACAGCCACTGGATTCACTTTGTTCCCTATCATGCCTAACAAAGGTATTTCGAATTCTGACTTCTGCAGTCAGAATGGGTTTGGCCGAGTTTGCGAGAGAGCTTCAACAAGCGGACGCTTGACGGGAGCGTTTCCGAGAATATGCCAACAGTAAGAAGGACTTTTATGTCTTTCTCTTCGAGTTATAATGAGCAAACGATGCAGCTACCACGTCAAGGGTAATGGTGATTGAGTAAAAGAAAAAAATTTTCACAATTTAGACATCCATGAATGAGAATTTCCTGTAGCTCCTTGTAAGTCCTTTCGACCATGTTAGCAGAAGACTTAGACTGACGTACTTAACTGCTTTACAACAGAGAAATGACAGATATATTATCAGTCAAATGTGCATACTGTATCAGATGAATGTCTCCCATGAATGTCTGAATGATGCTTTGGTTTAGCAAAAGGATATTACGACATAATAGCGCAGAAGGCTTAAATTTGTCCTAAGATGAGAGATTAATTTTGGAGTTCCTTTTGTTGTTCAGTAATAGGTGTACGTTTGATAATGCGTATCGGACTCAGAATATCCATAACAATAAACACACTCATTTAAAAAATCGTGTTACAAAGACGCGTTACGGAACGATATAGAATATATATGATTGATCAATTCGACATGGCTTAAAGGGCGCAAAATTCCATCTTGGAAATAGTTTTAATATATCTGAATATAGTTTTAAACCAATATCAAATTAATGTGCTATACATTTATGTCGACTACGTAAGCCTAACGATCAGATTGCGCTGTTACCTGTTCGGTGTTACAAAATAAATTGGTTTGATGCGATTCAAACCCTATGTGTGTACTTTAGTCTATTTGTATGGTATTAGGTGGTGTTGCCACAGCGAAGTGGCGGCGACAACGAGGAAGGATCACCACTGAGCTGCTAAGGACCGATGGCGTCTACCGAAACAGAATAGCCAGAACGAGGTCTAAAAACTGCGGCTGGAATCAGGCCAGCAGGAAGACAAAGGATATTTGGGATTTCACGAAAGCGCCAAAAGCCAGAAAATGTATGGTGACTACCGACAGAAAATCCCCGCTGTTCGTACGATGGATTGCCGCGCATAGACGAGCAAGCATAGGTAAAACCTTCGTCGCTACGGGCACCAGCAAAGCCAAGGTCGGTGTCATTGAGTTAAATGAGCGGTATTCTGTACACACGTACGCCCAACTAGCCCTGTTGTCCAATTACAATAGACGAGCCGAAATCTTCTGTCGCAGATTGCTGCTAAGAATGCTGAGGCTCGTAACGGCGACAGAGAGATAACTTACGTCGTAAGTGATCTTTTATGTAGTTATAATGTTAATGGCAATAATAATATGACCTATCAACGCTGATAATGCGGTCAGCCGGATGATCATATTGGATAGATACTGTGCTCTGAAACGCTCCGTATTATCATGTGGATAACTAATGAAAGACAACGCTTCTAAATGACAGGAATCTTAGATTCGTACTGAGCGAACGCGTCGGTAGCTAGCGTTATTACCTATTAGTATTTATCTCAATGGAAATTGTGTTGCATTATGCGGTCCGTCAGCTGGTCACAGCGCATATATATTGAATAAGTAGTATATTTACATACCAAATAAATCAAGTCCGGTTGGCATTAGTTGTACCAAGTGCTACACTAAATTCTAAAAAGAAACCTAACACAGCCGGACTTTTTATCTCCGAACACAATCAAATCCCAAGACTCCACAAGGTTAACCATTAAAGAGGATTCGAAAACTGAGAGCAGACGACATAAAAATTCAGAAAGTGTTAGGGATAGTTTCTACAAACAGAATTACATCAATGAGGCCATAGGGAGGTTTTAGGTGTGTTAGGAAAGAAAATGAAAAACCTAAGGTAAACCACCAACCTAATTCAGCTTCGATAAATATATCTATCTCGTTTTCCGCCTAACCATAGATGGCGTTGCATTCAGTGCCGTTTCGGCTTTCAACAGTATCTTATTGCTGCAATAGAGATGAACTCCATTTGGCTCTGAGAGCCAATTCTTGGCTTGAACCTAAATGAATAAATAAATGTTTCAAGTTTGTGCTGCCCTAGCCAACATTGCTTCAGACGAACAGCTTACAGCATAAAACGATGTGCGTTGCACTCGATTTCTAGCTTGGCCCACTTCACATGTCCCTATGTTTGGCTGGCAAAAACTTCATCCCTGGACACGGTATTTTGTCATCCCATAAGTTTATGGTAGTACTTGAAGACGAAGCCGTAAGAGCGTAGAGTCTAAAAATGAAGCACTTTGCGGAAAGCGACCGTCAATATCCGAAGCAATGCTTAATGCCGGTGGTGAACGTAACGTAAAATTTGGAACGTGTGTCTATTTCGCTTGTAGATGTACATGTAAATGCTAATTGGTCTTCACTTATTTAAAACTATGTCCGATTCAAGGCAGATCGAGGAAGCTCATGGCATTCAATAACGGACAGATCCAGTGACAGGCGCAAGCCTTATTTTATATCAGGGCGTGCCTGCCGACGCACAGGGTCTCGAACATATCTATTCGTAGTAATTACTACATATAGAATAACATCCAAATGGTGTGCCGACCGTTTTTCATACGCGTTTATAGCCTCTACAATGTTTCAACGATTAAATCGTTGCTCTAGATGCCGCAACCATGGAGCGGATAGGATACCTAATTTTTAAGCATAGCGCCGAGCGCTTAATGCCTACGTGTCGCCTGCAGCCGGCCATTTTCTCAAATTGTTTTCCTCATTTATGTTAATAACACATCATGCAACGTATGCCCCATGTAATTATGCCATCAGAGAGACATAAGAAATATGCTTTCTATTCGTGGCCAGTAGTATTGGTGTCTGACAGACCGAGCAAACTAACGGCCTCGACTTCTTTTTACAAGCATATTTGAGCTACTCTTTATTTTCCTACTTGGACTTTTTTTTGTCCTCGTTATCTTAGGCTACGCAATAGACGGATCCCTCGACATCTGTCGAGTTGGTTTTACGTATATCGCTCAACCGACCGTCAGGAACCCCGCTTCGCAATCTCCAATTCTAAGCAATCCGTTGTGTAGGACGAACTATAAAACTGTTTCCTTAAGTCACAGGCATAGTCGTCGACCATGCTAACGGCACTTAGTCGCCGGAACTATCTGGGCCTACATGTTGAATTTGAGGACGAAACACAAATTTGTACTAATTCAGGGAAGTATTTCAAGTTTCGTAGTAATACATGTATTGTCAAATCCGCAAATCGTAATTTACTTGCGCAGAATCCGATGAATTAGCTGTCCGATAACTTTGTAGTAAGTTACGAGTCGAATGCTGGGCTTGCCCGCCATGAAAGTTATTCTTGTATTTGCAAATTGTGCTGCATAACGAAAACAAGAATATTATTTATTTCGACAATAGCAATATTTGGCTTGAGGAGTTTCAGCAAAAGTGTAAAACCTAACTAGTAAATATAAATCTTGAACTTTTGCCATATAATTTAAAGTACTTGGCTTACTTAATTGTCCTAGCTTAACATCGTTATCTCGTAAGTTTTCGTAACGCTTCGTTCTAACGAAAGCGAATTCCAGCGACAGCTTTGTGGAATAAAATACTGATCTTCGTTTCGTTTGGTCTCGTATTCCGCTTCCTTCAAATTACGGTGGGCGGCTTCGACGGCCCTGAAAGATCAGAAGCGAAGTGTTGTGCGTGATCCCGATCACGTCGACATCCGATTCGCAGATCGGACTCCTGACTGATTCGTCCACTGTCTCCCGTTAGTTTTCAAAGCGCAAGCCACTTGCCGAAGCGAATAGTTGCTAACCGTATCGTTGGTACAGCAATATACGAGACAATATATATTCCGACAAAGGACGAAGCTGTCGACATATTTTCAATACTATTTACAAAAACCAGTCGCTGTTTGATCAAATGCGGTCCGCTAATTACCTAAAATGCCATTATACTTGGCTACGCTCAGCGAAATGATCTGAAACAACGACACTAGGTAACGATAGATCTTCTCAAGGGGCATATACGGTTTGTTCGCTTAAATCGAAGACATCTCACCCTATTCATTGACCGTCGCATTCATTCGTGTAATAATGCAAT